GCAGCGCGCGGCCACGCAGCAGGCGGCCGCGACCGCGGCGACGGCCGCGGCCGACGCGACGGCGATGGACGCGACGGACGCGCCGTCCGGGCCGTCGTCGTCGGCGTCGAGGAGCGGGGCCGCGGGCGCGGCCGTCGGCGGGCGCGACGGCGCGGCGGACGGCGCGGCGGACGACGGCGCGCGCGTCGGCGCGGTGGTCGGCGCGCGCGTCGTCGGGGCGGTCGTCGGGCGGGCGGTCGTCGGCGCCGCCGTCGGCGCGTAGGGCGCGCGGTCGCCGGGCGCCGTCGGCGCGGGCGTCGGCCGCTCGCCCTCGTCTTCCGGGGGCGCGCCGGCGGCGCACGGCGGCGGGAGCGACTCGAAGGCGTCGACGGTCATAACGACGGAGGCCGTGCCGTCCTTGGTGCAGGCGCAGGCCGTGGAGCAGAAGCAGGACTCGCTCGACGGCTCGTAGCGCGCGGCGACGAGCGCCTCGCCCGCGAGCGCCTCGTCGGCCGCGAGCCACGCCTCGCACGTGCCCCAGCAGTCGTCGACCTTGCCGAGGCGCCGGCCCGCCCCGGCGCTCCCGGACGACCCGGACGACCCGGACGACCCGGGCGGCGGGCCGTTGCCCGAGCCCGTGCCGGGGCCGCCGCTCGGCGGGTTGGCCGAGCCGGGGCCCGTGCCGCCGGCGCCGTCCTTCATCTTCTCGTCGGTCTCGCAGATCATCGTCCCGAGGCCCCAGTTCGTCGTATCCGCAGAGGCGCAGGCCGCGAGGAGGAGCAGCGGGAAGAGGACCTTCGACATCGTGAGATAGTGTACTCGCACAGAATAAATGGGGCTGCTCTTACGCTGCATCTTGAACTCAACAACAATAGATCGAGTTCTTGAAGGCAATGGCTCTGCGTATTGTGCTGCTCCTAGCCGCCGCCGCCGACGCATGGCTGCAAACAACAACACGCACGCCGCCGCGGCTGCCGACGACGCGATTGCGCGCGTCGAAGGACGACCTGGGCCGGCGCGAGGCGCTGGCGCTGGGGCTCGCGCAGGCGCTCGGCGTCGCGCTGGCGCCGGGCGCCGCCGGCGCCGCGGGCGAGCTGGGCCGCGTCGTCCCGGCGGCGGACCTGCTCGCGGCGGCCGCCGCGGCGCCCGCGAAGCGCAACGTCGTCGTCACCGGCGCGAACTC